AGCAGTCCTCATCCTTCTATACACGGCTAAATGGTTTGTTTGAGAAATCACTCCGATCTAGAGCATCCGAAAAACTCGATTATTTATGCATTTTGTCTATATCGAAGATTTGTGTATGGGAAAAAATTAAAAAGAAATTGGAAGAATTAGCGTGACTTGGCTCGACTAATCCAAATTACATTTTTAAAGTAAGTTGTGAACGTTGAGGAAATGTTTTCTGTTCTTATGCGTCATTTAATTTTTAAAACAATTAATTCTCTGCACAAATTGTTTAATTCATATGATATGAGTGCTAAAAGAACATTTGAAGAATTAATAACGTATCAGTGCTCTAAATCTGTATACAGGGTGTTCACGCTAAAGTGTGACAAACGCATATTACAATAAATATTGATGATACGAAAAAATTGTTTACATGTAAATTGCAGGATACAATGGACTCTATATTGCGGCGTAAACGAAATTTTTGTTATATTATTAATTTAAAAGATATGTATGATGGTGAAGTTTCGTTTTTAAATGGAACTATATAGTACTTTTCAAGACGAATTCATTGACTCTTAATGTATTTACTCGATTTTTATTAGTCGCTTCGAAATTTACTGATTTCCAGCGGGAAAGTCTCGTTTTGAGTGACAAGTCATAAAAGCGGTCCTATTGTTGCGGCGTTTGACTGCCTGTTGAAATCGATAGCAAGGAGTTATAGACGGAAAGCTGGCTACGAAAATCAGAAATGATAAGGTGCAGCGAAAATTTGTATGTAAAAACGCTCCTTACTAGATAACAAAGACAATAGTACTGCAGCCAGAAGTACGCTCCCGGGACTGGAAGCGTGGGTGGGCGGTCAAACATGTTAATTTTTAATCAAAATAAAATCTTTGAGTGTAGCCCTGAAATTTTGTGTAATTATAGTTTTTAACTGTAGAAATCGCGTAAAGCTACTGCCAGAAGTCTAGGTCGGGACTTAAATGTTACCAGAAGTCGATAAAGTTGTAAAATTGTTTAAATTTCATATTATTTATCGCTTAAAAAACCGGGATGACAATTGGCAGAAGACAGAATGGTGGCTAAGTACATGAAAAATGATAATATCGTCATACGTTGGTAAACAGGAAAGCAATTCTTTAAAATTTAAATAATAAGGTGCAGCTTTGGCAATGTGTTTTTCTTATTATTTATACTATTAGTTAACTACATATGCAATGACATAAGGCTAAGGTGCGGGAAATACATACAAAAAAGAACAATACAAATTATTGAATTGAAGAGTAAATCAAGTATGCGATAAATAAAATCGAATCGATTTTATTTATATCGTTCTTATTCCATATCATCCTTGACTGCACCAAATACAACGAAATCAGGAGAAAGTTAAACATTCATAATAGTATCAGTGAAGCCAAGTATTCTTTCAAATACCAGGACACCTTAGTAGAATTCTGCAAGACTAATCAGTTCTTTAACAAAATGTAATAACTCTGTACTGTTTCTGTAAGTCGCTAATAACCCATTATGTTGATACGACGTTAATCCGTTATTATTATTAAATAATAATATTAATAATAATAATAAAAAAAATGCGTGGCATCCTCAGTATAGTATGGTACTACTAATCCTCGGTACGCGATCTGTCAAAATTCATTGTCTCCCTCATAACCCTCGAATAATCGCACCGCAATCGACGCGCTGTCTCGAAATAGAATAGATTTATTTACTTATTAGTTTATTAATTTATTTATTATCCATTTATTTATTTATTGGTTTTCTGTTGCCAATAATGTCCAAACACAACAGAACAATTTTTCTGACCTCAAACTTGTTTACTTTTTAAAAAACGAAATCTAAAACTGGCCCATTTTTCACGAATTTTTCTAAAAGACTATCTTCAACAGTTTATTAACTGCATTCTCAACAGCGTTCATAAATGTAATATCAAAATTTGCAATGGATAGATCCCTTTAAAATTTCATTATCTGTGGGGGCGGGGATGGTGGGTTTCATTATCTTTACCTAGGCATCTGCACCAACTTCAAGTAGTATAACTTTAATCTCTTGGCCATCCGTTCTACCGGAGATACCGATGAATCTACGCTTCTCGGTGTCGTAAGCAATTTGTATGGAACAAAAGCGGATCATCGTCCCCGGAATTTGCATTGTTTGATATACTAGAAGCTCTCCCACGCGAAAGGCGGGCGCTTTAAGTAAGCTTCGATCCAAAAACATCCCGTCTCCTAGACTTTGATGGATTCCTCCTTTGGACAATGGAACCTTGCGTACCTTCCTTCCGTCCTTCCAGCTTTCCTATCAACCATCCTCTCGCTTCGTGTCCCTTTTCTTGAGCCAAAGAACAACGCGTTCTCCAAGAATTTTACCGTTGAACGTTCCAGTTTTCGTGATCTATCGCGAGTTACGGCGTGGAGCTATACTTTCCAGCTGCCTGGAATGAATATCGCCGACAACTGTATCAGCAATCTCAATAATCGACCCTGAAATCGCTGGACACACGTATATTCCGTTCGCTTGGAAACGCGTTAACTATGGGTATCATGCAAATCTTCCGTAAATTGAACGGTGATTGGGACAATTGCTCTGGCCCCTATTCGGTTTCTTCGAGCCTACGATTCGGTTCGCATTTATGAAGGCATTGATGTCTTCATCGAACAGTCATGTCAATTGCATGTTAGAAATAATCGTTCGAAATTATTCGTAAAAGAAATACACGTCTGTTTAATTCAATAGTTCTGGGGTAAGTGCCGTGTATTTCAACAAGGTCCTCTTTCCAGAAGGCAGAGCCTTCCCCACTCCGTGGCCAGATCTTTCTAGAACATTTATTCTAGGCATATCACCAATCATAGCAATACAACGTCAGGGTGCTTGCCTTATTTATGCGTTACCGATGGTAACGCATCGGTCATAGGATATTCGTTTTGGTGCCATCGACACGATTTGCCGCCGCTCGGCCCGCTCAGCTGTCTCCACCTTTCGAGAACCGGTCATTGACCGTAACAACAGTAGATCAGCTGTCTCCGAAAAATCAATATATCGACCTAACGCTAACATGCATATACATAGATCCTTAGAATAATTTGTTCTTTGCTTGCATTAGGTGAACGACAGATTCAGAATTATATTACAGGGGTGACAAATATTTTAAAGACAGTTCTTTAGGTTCATCAATAGATACTACATAGTTTAACCCTTTGCATTCGGATGTCTTTTCTGAGGGGACATTGCGAGTCCAGACAAACGTTCTTATTGATTACACAGGGTAAACTTATGGGAGCGTAAAATTTGAAAAGTTTATGCCTTGAAGATTTCTATTCCTATATCACGAAAAATCAAATCAAAATATGATACATGTATTAAGATATACAGAGCGTCCCATAAATGGTGGTACAAGCGAGTAGGGGGTGATTCTACATGAAAAAATAAGTCGAAAATGTAGAATAAAAATCGTTTACTTTAGACTTTGTTTCTGAGAAAATCGACCTTGAATTTTTGCCGGGAACGGTTGCACTTGATCATGTCCCGTTATAACGGATCTCACTGTACATCATTGTCTCGATTGAAGTTATGTTGATAAACATTTCCAATGGTACGGGAATGTTTGTTTACTTGTTATCTTACTATTATTACCTAACATAATCTAATACGTTAGAAATCGTTCATAAAAATTTAATTAGAATTTACTTTAACATCTGAGTTTATTACGTGTTCCTAATTTTCCCTTACGATAAAAACAAAGTTAAACTGCGATAATAACCATTGAGACAACAATCTACAGTGAGATTCGTTATTACGAGACATGATCAAGTACAGCCGTACTCGGCGAAAATTCAAAGTCGATTTTCTCAAAAGCAAAGTCTCACGTGAAACATTTTTATTATATATTTTCGACTTATCTTTTCATGTCGAATCACCTCTTTTTTGCTTGTACAGTGGGTGTAGAATGTATTCGTACACCGATCAATTTCCAAAAAAACTTGTGTGACATTGTACTTTCTTAACTTCTTTTTTTATAATGAATGTTATTTTACATATTCTTGGAAATCTCTAAGATAGATATAGTCCAAACAACATTTACTAGTTAATAGAATTTGTGAAATTAACAAAAAAATGGGAAAAGTGGGTAAAAGTATAGAAGCACTAAGTATTTGTAGGATTCTAACGACGAACCATTTACAGTAGAGTTTGTAACGTAAACACATTAGTTTACTCTGTAGAGTTTGTAACGTAAACACATTAGTTTGCTCTGTACGAATTAGAAAACATCGAATTTCCAAGAAAGTACTTTGATCGGTTTACGAAAAACTTTCTACACCCACTGTATGTCCAACATGCTCAGCTCCAAAGAAAATTATTTATCCAAATGAAAAGAATCTAAATAAAACTAGTACCATTTCCATTACCATACCATTTGAAATACACGGTCTGTTTAAAAGGAAACCGAACTTTTGCTATAAAAAGAAAAAAGTACAAGTAAAGTTTTTACAAACACGTTTATTTACTCAAAATAATCTCCCTCTGGGTCAATACAGCGTGTAGACCGCGTAATTAACATTTCGAAGGACCTTTGCAGTTCCTGTTTTCGTGCCCCGTTTAATACGGCGGTTACAGCGGTCTGAATCTCCGAAATGTTGCTATAATGTGTCCTTTTCATTGGAATTGGCATTGTGACCTTGGATTATTTACCTTACTCGCTTGATCTGTCTCCCTGCGATTATTTTCTTTTCCCAAAATTGAAAATTCCAATGAAAGGGACAAAACAGGAGCTGCAAAGGTCCTTCGAAATGTTAATTACGCGGTCTACACGGTGTATTGACGCAGAGGGAGATTATTTTGAGTAAATAAACGTGTGTGTAAAAACTTTATTTGTACTTTTTTCTTTTTATAGCAAAAGTTCGGTTTCTTTTTAGACAGACCGTGTATGTTTGTACAAGTGACGAGTGCCCGAGGTTCCTCGTGCAATAATTACTAAATATGTTTGTATCACGTTGCAGCACCTTACGAGGGTGGAATATGGAAGGTGAGGGTTCACTTGCCCGACCACTACCCCTTCAAATCTCCTTCGATCGGCTTTATGAACAGGGTGTACCACCCTAACATTGACGAAGTCTCAGGCACGGTGTGTCTAGACGTAATAAACCAGGCCTGGACTGCCCTTTACGGTACGTATTCACTATTCACCTATTCCCGATCAGATACAATCAACGTTCCCTGCCATATTTGTCCCGCAATCCCGCAATTGTTTCAAGAAATATCCTTTTGTGCTTTTTAACGCCAACGCTGTTTTCTTTGTTCCAGATTTATCGAATATTTTCGAGTCTTTCCTGCCCCAACTGTTAACATATCCTAATCCAATTGACCCCCTAAATGGCGATGCCGCGGCCATGTATTTACATAAACCTGAGGAGTACAAGAAGAAAGTAGCAGGTGAGTTGAATGCACGTTAACTCGATTTTAATAAGCGTTTGATAAGATTTTGAATTGTCTTTGTTCATATTGAGTTGCGTCATAAGTTGTGTAAGTAGTCGATGAAGACCGATTTTCTTTTTGCGATTAATCGAGGGGAAAAAGGCCACCACCAACATTGTGATGTTTGTGCTGTGTGCAGAAGATGCAATGCAGGAAAAAACAGAGCAACGACGGTTTTTAAGGTTCAAATATGCTCAAAGATTAACTTATTTACGAAAATTCGTGTCAATCGACCAGAAAATTGATTGAATAAATTGGTTGTGGTCATAAGTCTATAGGTCGTCATCTTCAATTGATAGTAAAGGTTCTGAAACTTGTCGCTTGAATTTCACATATCTTGTGAGAAATCAACAAAAATCGACGTTCCACTATTACAATTTACCAAATCGCGACAGGTAACAAAGGTTGTGCCTCTATGTCAATATGAAGCAACGAGAAGATTGGTTCAGTCCCAATAAACGGATTTTTTTTATAAATGAACTGATTCAGTCGATCTTCGTCGAACTCAACCAAGCCATTGGAACGTTTCAAGTTCCCAAAGTTGTAATAAACGTTTTTGAATCGCGAAAACTATCCCTAAACTGCCTTTGCAGATGTTGCGTCTTCTTCATATACGGGGTAGATCCGAAATTGTAGTATATTCGGGTGCAGGATGTGATTGTAATAGGCGTACAAAATAATTTAGTGCCTTATTCTTGTTAACGTGAGAATTTATTAACACATGTACGCATACAGATTTAATTTTCGAAATAATTTCTATTATTTTCTACAATTTTAGTCTACCTTTCGGGTCATTGTCATTGTGGACGAAACTTGGCAGATTTAATACGATCAAGTCATCAATTTTTTTTTTATCGAGTCTCTTCTGGTATGATATATCGTTCAGACAGATTAATTGTCGTTGACAGTAGTCAGCATTAACCTTTCGACGGACGAATTTTAAATTGATATCTTTTCTTACTTTAATCGAATTGTATCTGTAATTTAATTTTAAAATACAAATATGCTATTTTACTTTAATATGGTACACGTTTTAATTCTATAAGGTATTGTGATCGCACGTGACGACAATTTTAATGTAAAAGCAAATGTATACATGTGTCACATGTATATATGTGTCAAATTCTTTCAGAGGTTAAAGGGTTATATCTAGTCTCTAGTGTATATATATATATATATATAAAATGTTATTATAGATACAAATAATAAGGTTTCGTTTAGGAAAACGGAGGTGACCTTGATATATTCGTTAAAAAGCATGTTGATGACAAAGCAATTCATACTTCAGTTAACATAATGTGTCTCCGAAGAAACGATGTAACTTTGTGTGAAGAAATTTTATGTATAATAATTGGTTTAAAATTTATTTATAGTGGAAGAAATTATTTCTCCACTCATTAGATACTTTGCGAAAATGCTTCATTTTATCACTAAAATTTAAATTTAAGAAAAACTGCCCCAACTTATGACACAACTCAAATGGAACACGTCTTCCAATGAAAGTTGCCTTATTAACCCGTCGCCTTGCAATGATGAGTAACAATTTACGATTGACACATAGATTGTGTTCCAAACGTATTTCATACGAGTCGCGCTCGTGGCGCGTAACAACCTCCTGGTTTGCTGTCATCGATCTTCAATGTCTGCGACGAGTGTGCTCGTGTAACATGTCTATTCATATGATTTGATATTCTTTTTAATATGTTTCTATTTCATATTTCAATTCTTGGACATTTTTCGGATATAGTTCAGTGTTTCTCAAATTTTTCAAGGAGTTTAAGCAATTTAATCCTTTCGACCCTATTGAGACATACAGTGGGTGTAGAATGTATTCGTACATCGATCAATTTCCCAAGAAACTTTTGTGTAAAATTGTAGTTTCTCAACTTCTTTTTTTATAATCAATGATATTTTACATATTCTCGGAAGTCTCTAAGATAGACATAGTCCAAACAACATTTACTAGTTAATATAATTTGTGAAATTAACAAAAAAATGCGAGAAGTCAGTAAAAGTATAGAAGCAATAAGTACACCCACTGTATATGTCCCAGTGAATATATCTAATTACCGTTAGCCAAATTAAAATTGAGACTCACAGAAACATAGTTAACAAAAATGAACATAATTTGGTGTTGATGTATAATCAACGTTCAGTTTGATACAATTAATTTGTAAAAGAGAAATGAATAGAATTAAAATAGAAAACAGCCGGGTGGAAAGGCTTAAAAATTCAAAGAAATTTAGACCTTTGCAAAAGTCTAGTTCAAGCGATGCTATTAAGGAGTAATGCGCAATCAGAAAGATTTTGATATTTTCTATAAGTATAACATCTGGACAGTATTCTCGGAACATTTTACATTACTTCGCTTAACACGTTGAGCGCCACACGAATTTTTAAGGAAATCCCCGTCAGGCTACGTGCGCTGCTTGGAATCGCTGATATTATGGTATATAAATGCATTAATGATACAATCCTGTAATGAATAAAAATTAATGTTTATTTCTTTCTATTTTTTTAGTGTAAACATTATAATATATTCTCATAAATACGCTGTTTTAAATACGCGAACAGTTTTTGTTAAAATGTCTTAAAATGTTTGAATAAAGTATCCCAAAAATCATGTTTGTTTTCAGCCTCGTGACTGCGCATGATCCTTTAACGAGGGAAACATCATGAAACTAAATATCAAGTATTTATCGTGATTTTTTTACGGACAAACTTTGCTTAATTTGTTTTTAACTTTGAGAATATTTTAGATATATTCTAAAATACATTTGGTATCATCCCAATTTTTTGTTAATATTTAAGTGTCATTTAAATGAATTAGATGTATATAAATTTGAAAACGATCATATAATCAGATTTTGAATTATCATTCCTACGGATTGAAGAAATATTGTTTAAATAAAATGCGATTTCTCAAAGATTTCTGTGTAAAATCTATTGGATGAAGTACCAAATGCATTTTAAAACATACCTAAAGTATTCTTAAACTTGAAAAGGCATTTAACAAATTCTTCTTTGTGAAACAAAATATGTATCACGAAAACTACTTAATATTTGGTCTTTTCACGTGATATTCCCCATTAATGAAATTATTGTTTGTTTTGGCAATGCGAAATTGCGAAATCGTAAAAGATAGTAATGGAATGTAGAAGTTCATATAGTTTGAAGAGTGTTTAGTCTATAGGCTTCATTATTGCACTTAATATACGTGTTTTATAGGTTTTTTTATGGATTTTTATTACCGATAACAATATTAATTTATACTTAAATAATGCTTAATTTAGTACGTATTATCTTTTGATTTTTCTTATTTCTAGTTTTGATTTCTAATATACATCTATATGAAAATATAAACTCAACATTAATACTCCTTTTTTTATTGATAGAATGTTTAATTCGAAGTTTTGTAGTTTCCGATGTCCCTACAATGCGGAGGAACAATAGTTATTTATATTGCTTAGATTTCCTCTGGAAAATAATGAACACTTTTTTAGGCCTTAGAAGTGTGGATCTCTTTTGAAAACAATAATAAAAGTACTAAATTGTTAATCTCAGAAAAGTTATAATTGTAACTATATTTTTTTTCTTAATTACCTCTTTACCAAGCCACTTACGATTGTTTACTTGAACATATTTTCTTAGTTTTGCTCTTGTATAATTAGCCTTTATGAGCCCTTTTTTAAACGTTTTCGACCAAATTTACGACGTTTAATCAAATATTAGCAAATTAATCCTTTATACTTTTTTTAACGGGGTTTTATACTTTTAATTCGAAAGTATACCGAACTCATGCAGTTATGTACATTAATAAGCAGTTCTAATTGTGGTCATGTAGTCATGTGGAATTTAAATTACTTTAACACAGTTCTATCACAATTGTACGATTGTTGCTCTAAATTACTATGGTCCTGTCACGGGCAATATAGATTTCGTCTGTGTCCTATAAATTAAAGCTCAATTGTATTACAAAGTAGGTTATAGTTTGTTATCTTTTTGTGAGTATACGGGAATCGATATTCGATTATTAATATTAGCCTTGAGTGGATTGTTTTTTGTTTGCTTCATATATCCTATTCCGCCCTACTTCTTGCAACCCAATAAACAGGGTCGAGGGCGTTAAAAAAGTGCTTGGCAGAGACTAAGTACGCAAATACAAAAATAACCCTTTTATCTTCATCAAAGTGCTTGAATCAGCTACGCGCAATTCCTCACTTAAAGCTTTTAAATATGATTAAAACTGTTTTATATTTTTTATCACTGATGGAAATGTTAGTTTATATACATAGACGGAAATGATGGAAGAACATTCTTTGCAATAATAATAATCAAAAGAAAAACTGTAATTTTCTTGAGCAATCACTGAATACATATCAATAAAATGTTTTTAAAATTGTACCATAAAATTTGGTACATTCTGTTTTATAAATTCTTCATTCAAATTCATTCTTTTTTTTATAAATCGTATTTATGCTTACCATGTTTTAACAAAATTCATCTAAATATACCTTTGTGATCGTAAAGGAAATTGAAATACAACCAATAATATTAACATTATTTGGAATAAAATGATCTCTATACTATGAATTCTATCATGATCGATGAATGTTATGTAGGAGTATCGTGTAGAATAAATAGTCAATTATGTGTTTGTTAAACTAAATTATTGAAATCAAATTTACTGTATTTGCTCTATCATGCATCTAAAACTTCGCACTTCTTTTTTGATGAATAGAGTTCTTGAATTATTACGAATATTGCAAGGTACAATAAATCCTCGAACAACGTGGTTTTCATATAACGGTGAGCAAAAATGGCCCTCCTATAACGCAATTTCCACATAATACAGTTACCACATAACGTAGTAGATTTATAATGTTATTTCTCTACATAACAATTCGATAAACAGTCTCTTTAAGATAAATTTGGTCATCAAAATTTTATATTGGAAATTAATGAGGAATTTCCGTGTTTTTTCTTTTCCATCAGAATGTTTTAGTTTTAGTTATCAGGGGAATCTTCTGTAAATTCCAAAGTGTGCAGCAATACTGTCTAACTTTTCTATTGCAGCTCGACAACACTTACATATTTTTGCTAGATTTCTTTATTTAATATTGCTGCTAAGGCTTCCACTAATTGTGCAATCTGCTTTAAGCACAATTCAGTAGATAATTTATTATAAATTATTTTAAACGTATTAAGGATTTTGTTTATTAAAGTTACGTGTTTGTGCGCTTAATTTGTGTTATCATAATTGGAAAACTTTATACAATACTTCGAATAATATTCTTTCTTTCATGGAATCAACAAAATTGTATTATTTACCCGAAGATAATTTTTAACTCTAAGTTTGCATAACGTCTGACAAAACTTGAAAAATAAAATTTATTTTTCCTGGAGACAAAATTTAAATTTTAAATCGTTGAAAGAGTGACGAAAAAAATATCTGTTGGAAGATCGTTAAATTTAAATGAATCTACAATTCTGAGTTACACTTAATGCGGTATAAATTATTCTGTTTTATATTAGCTCTTAGTTTTTCGTAACGCGATTTTCTCAATCATTATTTATTGTAATATACAGCTTTAAATTGAGATTTAAAATCAGTAAATTCATCGTAGCCCACCAGTTGATTGAACATCGCTATTTTATTGAAAAAATGTAAAATTATTTTGTTATTATTAAATATATGCATGAAAACCCCCAGGAAACAAATCTTCTATTAAGGGGTTAGTCGCAGTCAGGAAAATGGAAACGGACAGTTTCTTGTGTGTGTGTTTTTTAAAGTATTAAATAATAATTTTTATTAATGAAAAGTAAATATATTACAAAGTATGTCTTAAAGAACTATAAAAGAATTTTTGTTTGAAAAAGAAAAGGTTAATTGATTTCATCATAACAGGCGATGGCGTGGGAGGCCACTTGGTTTGCGGTGAGCAAGATTTCTTCAAACTGCTGCAGCTGAAAACAAAACTAAAGGTAGATTTAGAAGATATATTAGACTAACGGGTCCCTGATCGAAAAATTTCTTATTTTCTTGTTTACTTTTTTTTTATCTTATATTGAATCGCTTAATTTTAGTGAAAGAATTGAAAATCAACTTCAAATGTACGCCATCTTGTTTTAAATTAATTTTTTCGAAAATTCTTCGTTCAGGGACCCGATAGATTAATCTATTTTCAAAATCTACCTTTGTTTTTGTTTTCAGGTAAATCAGTGTAGAGAAATCTTGCTCACCGCAAACCTATGTTTTTAAATCATCGTCTACGTCATCGGCTGTTATGACGATATAAATTAAACGTTTCTTAAAACAAAAAATGTTTTCTAGTTCTTTAAAACATGCTTTATAATATACTTAATTGTTACTTCTGGAAATTATTATTTAATAACTAAAAAAAATCACAAAGGAACGTCATTTTTCTTTTTCCTGACTGCGACTAAGCCCTTAAGTCAATCATTTTCAACAAAAGAAAAAATGGTTGAATACAGCTATAATTTTCACAAGTTCAAGGTTGTTTCCCAACTTAAAACACGTTTATCGGAAATTCTCTCACCTGTTGGGAGGCACTGACACGCGATACCATGAAAACAAAAAAACGCAAGGCAACGGGTTAATCGTCTCTCGAACGAGTGTAAATTACTATCAGTCGAGGCGACGACGGCAACTTTCATATATAGAATATATCCGAGAACGCATTAGCCAGGGATGCAATTTCCTTTTTGATTTCTCAACAGATTACGTGAGGAAATACGCGACGGAGGAAGCGCTAAGGGACCAGGAGAACGGGGGCACCGGAAACGGGATGTCGTCCGACAGCGAGTCTTCTATGAGCGACTTCAGCGAGGACGAGGCACAGGACATGGAGTTGTAACCAAATATTTTACCATCCGTACCCATATCCTTAATCTCGATTCTCTGTAAACTCCGATCGCTCGTCCTACCAAATAGATGCTTACATTCGAACCTCCGGACCTCACTGTCGGTTTAGCCATGTGGCACACTCGTCACTATCGTTTCATAGAAACCATTCGATAAAATCGCTACCGGGTCGATGTGTTGATTATCGCGAGGTGAAAAAGATAAAATAGTTACATGAATACGATAGATGAAGCATTGCAGACAAAAGAAAGACTTAAAAAAAGAAAAAAAAACACACACACACAGAGAAATGGAAAATAAGAACGATGCGTAAGAAACGAAAGAGAATCGCTTTTGGAGTTCTCTTTACGCGTGTAAGCGTCGTGTGCTCGTCGTCGTCGTCGTCGAATTGAAAGACGTCGACGAGGAGAGATACGCGCCACTCTTTGTTGAAAATTGAAAGATAGAACCATTTACTGGAATTCACGGGTTCACCGTCGACTAGGCGTCGATTTTTTCTCTTAGAAATTGCTGGCGTTCTTAACTTTGGCATTGATCGAACGGAACAATCGCGAGATCAATGTTTACGCTTTTTTCTTTTTTTGTTCTTTTTTGCGATTGACAACCGATTGCATCCGCGATGCGATGAGACACGAACAACCGTCGAAAATTCTATTTTTTTTTTTTAAGTTCAACAATTTGGTTAAGTTGTCGGATTTTTGTAAATTCGCCCTCGTTCCAGAGATGGGAAAAATTTACCGATAATTCGTATTCGGATGAAAATATCTAATAACATCCGAGAGGTCATCTCTCTATTCGAACATAAAAATTAGAGTTAGAGTTATAGAATGAAATATTTTACGATGAACGAATAATATGAATTTTACTGTTCGATCGAATAAATCTATGTAATATAATTTCCACGTTAGTTTTATTCGTCGTCTATCGTTCGAATCAAATTTTGCCCCATCTCTGCTTAGATTTTCCTTTTTCTTTAATTTTTTTCCGTCAAGAGCCGATAGCCGTACATGGATGATAACACGGTGCATGAACACGAAAGTCGATTTCGTTTACTGACAATTTGTATTTCTTACGAGTGTCGCAATACCCACGTGTCGACGTTACGCTGCTTCTACATATGTGTTCCGCTTCGCAGAGCACACGTGCCCCGAGCAGTCACGTTATCTCTCGAATTAGCATTGTTCTCGTACAACGTTCGATTCCTCATCTTTCAAAGATTCTTAGGAGTTAACGACTCTTTTGTAGCTTATGCGAAAGATTTGATAAGACGTTCGTATCTTGAGAGCAGAAGTAACGGAGTATGTCAAAAGAAATACACATGCAGGAGCGACAATGTGATACGAAAAGATGGTTGGAAAGATTCGTTTCGTAGAATTTTTTCAGAAGAATTTATTTCAGTTGATTGGAGGAATGATTGGTTTCGAGCAATTATCTTTAAATAATTTATTTTGCTCTTTGTTGGAGAAAAGATTGGTTTTGATTAATTTTCCAAATGAAATTATTCTGCAATTTATTGAAGGAAATATTGGTTTCGTGCAATTGTTTCTAGAAATTTATTTCAATCTATCGGAGGAAAGATTAGTTTCAAGCAACTATTAAAAAAATATTATTTGTAATTTATCAGATGAAATTAAAATTTCGAGCATGTTTTTTTAAATATTTATTGCAACTTATTCTTTAAAAGACTAGTTCCGAACAATATTCCATATAAATTTATTTCAATTTAGTGGTAGAAAGATTCGTTTCGAACAATTTGTCCAACAAAGTTATTTTGCAGTTTATTTGACGTAATTTTGATTTCAAGTAATGTCGCTCGGATATTTAATTGTATTTATTAAGAAATTTATTAAGAGATTCATTTCGAGCAATTTTTCCAAAAAATTTATTTCAATTTATTGGAGAAAGGATTCGTTTCGAACAATTCTTTCATTTAAATTTATTTCAATTTACTGGATTTTTTTCTTTACAATATGTGGTATATCATAGGACGAAAAGTATTCCTTTGTTCTATTATCACCATCCCTGAACGTTTCCCTCGTAGGGTGCAGCAACGGGAAATGGCTTCGACGACAGTGTTGAAGACACTGACAAACCCACGATATAAACGGCGTTTAAGTTGCGACATAAATGTCGGGACGTCCCAACCGCAGTTGAAGTCCGCCAGATCGGCAATGTTCGACAGAAGAAAAACAATTGAAGACTCGAGTCGTTTTCAAACGTCGCAAGACGGGGCCGCGGAATTTTCTACGGAATTACGCCAGTATTCGGAGATGGACGTAGAGTTAAATAACAATTCAGAAAGTAGAAGCGATTTGAATACCATTGTTTAGTATACGTCGCAAAATTTGTTGGCGATGTGTCTTTTATTTTTGAAGCAGTGATTCTTGACTTTTTATAGTTCGCAGCACAGTTTTAAAAAGAATGAAAGTGAAAACTCGAGACTGTTCTTAACCCTTAATTGCAATAACACGAATTAAATAATAAATTGTTTGTACGTATAAATTCAATGAAGCAACAAATTTGGCCTGAAACAAGTATCGAATTAAATATGAACATACTTTTAAATCGTGTATTATTTTTAATCTTATTTTGAGTAAAATTGTTTGAGTAAAATAAATTAAACATAAAATTAAAAGTTTCTTACTATACTACATTTTAGCGAGGAGTGAAGTAATAGAGGAGTCGAAACGTTTAAAATATATTTATAAATTAATCAATCTTTATATAAGTATCGGTTACAGAGACTGTACAGGTGCGAGGAAAAAAAGAACAATTTCCGTTAACCAAATTGCGGAGTATCTTTAGAAGTGTATTGAATAAAGATCTACAAAAGAAATGACGTAATATCGAGGATTGGTATACATTTGATAAAGAACAATAGAAGGAGTGATGTCATATTAGGGATTGGTATAAATTCGTTAGTTGTTGGTACGATTTATTTAAATTTGACTTATTCAAACGTAGTACACGTATTGTACTTATATTATTATCAAGATAAAAAATGTCATATACTCTAAAAATATTTTCTTTCTACAAATATCTAAATACCCTATTTACATCTAGAGTAGTATGTGATATTTGGTATTTTATTGTTATTGTATTATTTCAAATATATTTGCATTTTACTCTCTACTGCATAATGTGCTCAATTCGGGGCTCAATAGTGACAATCTCACAAATGTTCAATTGATACATTTCACAGCATTCGTGCGTCATGTTTTCTTAACGGGACATCTAATACTCCTGCAGTTTTGACCACTATCCTTTAACTTGACTATTAATCCTTTGCGGACTTATGTCAAGAATGTATAAACAATGAATTTAGGTATAAAAACAACATTTCGGCCCATAACACTCTTCTAAAATAATTCAATAAAAACGTTAAATAAGATAAACAAATACATAATCGATCATTTCTTTGTCGAAAGATACAATTAAATTCATACAATCCAACACTAAACCGATGCTTGTTTCGCACCAAAGTTTTTCCATTATCGGATTCTAGTAAAAGTTTAAAAAATTATTAATAATAAAAACTCGCCCGATCTATTGTTAAACATGTACTGTTAAGAATCACTGACTTAGAGTAATTACCGATCAACAGGAGTTGCCCTTGAAACGCGTTAGAATTCGGCTTAAAAATTTCCAATCGAAACTAAGTTGGGCTAAAAAATAAATGCTTTTACTTTAGGCGCTATTCGCGCGCGCGCGCGTTTTATTTTCGTTAGCAATTTTGATACGGTCGATATTTTTTAGAAGCAGCTTTCACGCGCGTTCGTGCAACACACCGTGCCATGTATTATTCCACCGACGGCTCTGTTTGATTAGTAAAATCCAAAGTATTTTAGAGCGACGCGTGTTCGATTCGTTTTGAGCAAATTGCGGAGAAAGAAGAGTGACGCGGATTAGGAGAGCAAAGGAGAAACAAAATTGGAGAATAGTATGCGCAAGGAAAGAAAGTAGCGATTGCGACGACTCGTGCGAAAGAATAATAATACAAAGTATAACGATACATGGAACTAGGCGTCGACGAGAAAATGAATTTGTACAAATCTTGGTGCACAATAATCTCTTTGTTTTAGTTGTAACTTGCTTCAAATTGATCTCTCTCTCTATCTCTCTCTGCTTTGCGTGGTTTACGTATAGGCAGTTACGATCAACTATACGTGCAAGTATAGACATGGCGTTTTAGTGCCTCCTCAGGCAGGAAAGTGTGCCTTATTATTATGGGTCTTCGTGGAAAACAATCTTATTGGTGAATAAATAACATCGTTGAAAGGGACGAGCATTATTGACACGTTAAACGCCACGCTGGTCTCCACGGACCGACACTGAACTTTTTGTTTAGATAACAAATGTTCCCTGCGTATTTAGGCTGAAAAATCAACGTCGTTATGTGTTGCGTTCATCTAAAAAGCATAAGCTTGTTAGACAGTCTACATGTGAATAATAACAGCGCCGATAATCAAGATTTATCGTGGCCCGATACGAAAAGCTAACAAACAAACGTTATTTGTAATATCTGCAAAGAAACCCTTTATCTTTCTTTAGATACTTTTAACCCCTTTGCGCTCGATATTTTCATTAGGACGAACTTGCGACTCCAGACGGTTTTTCGAAAATTTGACAAACTTCTTCCATACATAAATTGATTTTACATACAAATTTCAGTATAGAATATTATATTAAGGTAATAGATAATATTTTACAATTTTTATGTCTTAATAAACAATGTTGTGTATTCTTTCTTCGAATGATATTTTATGAGACATTCTCCAGAATGCATTCATGAATCTAATTCATCATCACTCGGATTGTTTCATTATGCAAATTTATTTTTACAGATCCTCGAAACTTTCGATTCTATCAAGACTTCCAAAACAAATTTTTGTTACAATTGTCGAATGTTAAGTAACGCTGAAGACATTGTCGAAAATCTTGTTACTATTTTGAAGTGTATCATTCTACACTTCCTAAAAGAATATAAAAGTGCTTTGGAAGCTGTTCGTAGGCAGATATTATCGTCGATGCATATGAAAAATCATTAAAACGAAATATCTCCTAGCTCAGTCTGAAAGTTTGGTTTACTATGTACTAGGCATCTTCATCGAGAATGTTCAGTCGTCGTACGCAGGGATCAGCACAGTAGTCTAATCAAAGTGTTAAACGGCGGTCTAGGGATCGGCATGATGTTTAACGCGTTTACGAACACAATTAGAATCAAATTAATTGTTTCGGGAAGATTGCGAAATAAGCGTAGCGTGTGGTTTTTATTTTCGAATATATCGAATATACAGTTTAACGTTTAAATAAAAAACGAATTGTGATAAGCATCGATAATTTATCAAGAAAAACAATCGTTCGTGTATATTTCGAAGCACGTTCGTAAGAGCGCGGATAAGAATGAGAAGTACTTCCACCAAAATAACGTTTATAAGGAAAATTTCTCGTCTGTATTTTTCAGTAGGTTCACTCCTTAGTTTTTAACGAATGAATTTATTATTATTGTTCTATTACTATTCATATATGGGCGCGCCTATCGTATCGCTCTCGCCAACACGTTTTTCTACGCCTTGTTTTCTGTATACTTTGATGAAATTCCAATTGTCCCGATTGTCAAAACGACCCACCATTGATTTCCTATTTTTCAAAGAATCGCGTATCGCGACGACACGCGCCGCACGAATAGTTATATTTTATTTATCGAATGTTTTTACTCGAATCCGAGGATGGTCGTAACTACGATAGCCGCGCCCCTAAATTTTAATCGTTACATATTCTTTTTTCTCCTTCCTTTTATTTAAGGAATGCCGACATTCGCGCGAAAGGTGAATGTCGCACAGAATTTACATTATTTACGATTATTTAAGACGTGCTTTCATGAATTTTTGGTATGATTCGCAGCGGCTCTATCCGTTGGTGAAGTGTATAGCAATATGTATTTACTAATTAGAGAAATGGTTATTAAAATGGAGTGAAACCAATACGGCGTTTTGTATGGATTATTGAGCATTCTGAATGCCTCACGACGTCACTCTCAGGCACTGTAACAAGTATGTAAATTTTGTTTTCGTACCATTTTTGTCACTTGGTTCTTTATTTTCTTTTTCGTTGTAAGGTAAAGGTCCCTATTATCGACACATTTTTTGACATGGCGAACGATGATAAGAGATTCTGAGTACTGTCTTTTACTTGCGTCTGGTATGTCAAAATTACGTTGCGACTTACACGAAATGTTTATATGGAAATTTTCTATTTAAATTCCAACATAATTTTGACGTATCTTATCGTTACGAAAAATGAAGTAATTATATTTGTTACATTTGTTCGTGAAACAGAAACAAAATTGTTCGTAACTTTTCGGCAACGCTATGTTGATTTCTCCGTTTCAACTTTTCACTTTTGTCCTCGAATGTTACCATTAATTTTTTGCGATTTTATTGCGTTGATACGCCTAAGATAGTGATTACAGTGTTATTGATATCGTTAAATTTCAACTATATGTATAGTTTACACGAAAAATAGAAGGAAGAATTTAATGTTTTTACCAAGTTGTTGACAAATGTAAATATGAAATTAATGAAATGTGTCGATGAATGGGTTAGTGTCAAATTTAGGTGCACTTACGTTATTGCCCCGCCGTACTGCGATGCTCGAGCATCTTTCGAGGTTTCGTTCACGGAATGGCGCAGAGAAGAAGAAGAAAAAAAAAATGAATCACGTTTGACGCTCGTTCATAGGATCCGATGCGTAAAAAGTGCGATTTAGAAAGCCTGTTTGTAATTCTTAGCGATAATTCGTAGCAGTTTCTCTTAGTTTATTATCTGTGCTCCGTATCTCTCCGTGAAACGTTCACTTTACATCGAAGTAAGTTGGTGTAGTAGCTTTAATACGTTTCATTAGCATTCTTAGCGCGTCTCCCAACCATATTCTTTTAGTACTTCGTCCCGAGTGAGAACCAAAAGAAAGACGACGATGAAGAAACGAACATAATCGTACGTTGCGTTTTTTCGTAGAATTACAGTGATCGAGGTAAAGTCGTATTTACAGATCTCACATTATTTACTTTTTATACATGTAACATAGGATTATTGATTTAATTATATATGTTATTATTGATCGTATTCGCACAACTCTATTATGTACATGGTTTTACTAACCGATTGTTTAACCAATTGAAAGGATAGTTTTAATAATCATTTTTTATTTTTTTGCAAATGTTGTTTGTCTCACCTTATGTTTTATTTAATTATACATCGTATCACACGTTTATGTTTTCAGTTATCTTAGGACGATCCGATTTCGTTGCCATTATACATCGTGCGCGCTGCCCCTTCCCCCCGCCACCAGCCCTACCCTGCTAATCGTAACGCCCTTTTCGTAAAAACGATGAAATATAAGTATCGCACGTCTTGTTGTATAGCTGTATATTATTTTACTTGTACCTACTAACTCGTACAATCTTTGCACAGAATTTCAAGGAGTGTCCGAGAAATTTGCAAGAAGGCATATACCGTACGTGCTTCCACTCGTGTACTAATAACAACCTTTTCGTCCGTAAAGCTTCGGGAAGCAGGAGTTCCAAAAATCAATCAGATTTGTGCAGCTGTGTGTATTAATTTCCTACATCGACATAGGAGCTTGCGCGAAATAAAGACCAAAATTCTGCATTCTCGAAAACGATCATTGATTTATTTTAAACGTTTCGTATGTTCATTTGTTCATTCGGTATTTATAAAACTACAATTACGTTCAACGTTATACCCGTGACGTTAAATGGAAAATGACGATAGAAGAATACATTTTTTTTATAGGAAATTAAGAATCTAATATAAAATTGAAAATTTTAAGAGGAATTCTTAGAAGAAAACTTTGCAATGAAATTTTTCTGGTATAAAAGAGATTATAATAATTATTATATGTAGAATTAAACGTTGTCCTATATTTAAATATGTGATGGTTTTACGATAATAACTGTTTCGACATTGTTACTAATTTTTATATAAAAGCTTTTCAATAAAATTTCTTTGGAGTAAGTGAGATTACAATTAATTATTATAAACCTGATCATTGTGGTCTATTGGAATATCTAATGGTTTTACATTAATAACTGTGTCGACATTATTATTAATCTTCGCTTGAAAGATTTTCAATGAAATTGCTGCAGAGTAATAGGAATTGTAATTAATTATCAAATAAATAAATATTGTACTATATTTGAAAGTGTAATGGTCTTAAGTTGGTAACTGTGTCCATTTTATAACTAATTATTAGAACATTTCACCACATTTGCACAGGTAATTGCTTTAACGAAACGTTAAAAAGTAAATTAATGCTCGTTTTCGAAACTGCACAGCTTTAGTCGTTATTAATTTTCGACCTTGAATACGTCGCAGAGAAATTACATACCTAAATAATGCAAAGGAGTCGTTATCTGTTATCAGATCGTGAACGTACAGCTATCGATATCGAGGTGTTTCGAAACGATCAATGTTTTCAAATAACAGCGCACTCGAATTTGGCTGTCTTTGAGTTCGAAAAAGTCGAATTCCTTAACTCGCGCGAAAGAAAAAAACAGAAAACAAAGTACGTAAGTATACGAATCGTGGGACAACTCCAAAAGCTATGTAGCAGTGACGAGCAATGCCATTCGTTGCCAAAGTGAGTGTTGTTTTTCGTTTGTGTGTTAACTTTACGATCAGAGGAAGCGGTGGAGCAACGCGTCGGCTCATTAAACGTTTCCCTGTGTACTATACGTTTTTCTATTAAGTATTACAGTGTTTATGATTTTTCGTCGAGCAGCTTGTAGCTTGAAATGTAGCTGCATAATAGCCCGATCTTTTGTCGGAGCAGGAATACTCGTGTTTAGAATTTATAAGATGTCTGGAACGTTTTAACACGTTGATCATCACGTCATCCATATATGCGGGCCAAGACTTATCACCGAGGAACTAAAATAATTAATTTTGAAGGCAATGCGTCATAGAAAATAAATTTGACGATGTTACAAAAATAAATACCACCACAAATTAGTTCCTAATTGGATAGAAACAAAGTTTTAGCTTCGTGGAAATTTTCACGAGTATTAGTTTGCCAATCGACGTATCAAAAGATTCGGGGAAGCGTTTAGACAATATTTTCATAAACGTTTTGGCATAAGAAATTTGAATAAATTCGAAATTGTATCCGTGGTCGACGCGATTGTTCTTGCTCGAGACGCGTTACGTTGCTTAAAATTACTTTCCAGCAACGCGTTGAGATTCCGAGTTGCGAATGGAAACAACTTTCGAGCGATAGAATACCCATTTTCAAGATAACTTTCATCGAGACAAGGAAATAGCAATATTTTTGCTACTCGTTCATAATACTATATCATCGATGTTATCTAATGTGTTAATGACGATGCCAACGTACGCATTCGCAATAATGGTTGATTAAAGCTATACAGATCTTATCGTTATTGTCCGGTCGAAACGATCGAAGCTAGTTTTACACAAAATACCCAACAACGATGCTGTTGCGTGAACGGAGAATATATTTAATTCGACTCCATCGTTGACGAAGTTTTAATTCTCATTGTATTCTAGTAAGACCTCGCGAGATGTCTGCATAGTTTCCATTTACGACTAACAACTGTGTACCGTAGACGATGTGGTCCCAAATATCACAAATCCATGTGCTTGTACGACGAAAAAGTTATGTGTTAAGTGTTTTAGCACGAATAACCGCAAAATCCCATTTACCTTCTTTCGATACATTTTAAGATTATTGTATTAAGCCTTAGACGGCTTAGACGACCACGAGATTTTATTGTATGTATGTAAAATGTCCAAGACTACATATAACCTAAACAGTCGTGTCCTGAGAACCTTGTTGGCAAATATTACAATATTAACACTTTATCCACCTTTATCTAAACCTATTTACATACAGGATTTTAATTCCAGTGTTTACCTTCTGGAATTTATTGACTGTACTGGTTGTCTACATAGAATGTTCAATCTGTTTTGGAAACAGATTTGACTTTGGATGTACCTAGTAACAGTATGCAGGAATTAGTGTCAGCTTCAAATAACATGTATACTAATGGAATCAATTCTTTTCAATATTGTAGACTGTTTCTAAGTTGACCAGTAGATAAAGTGTTAATGTGTTTGTTAGGTAGAAACACTTCAGAATAAAAGTAATTGTAACAGCAACAATTGTGTGCACGCATAACTAAATGCATACATACAGTGTGTGTAGAATGTATTCGTACACCGATCAATTTCCCAAAAAACTTTTGTGTGAAATTGTAGTTTCTTAATTTCTTTTTTTATAATCAACGATATTCTACATATTCTCGGAAATCTCTAGAATATAGTTCAAACAACAATTACTAGTTTATATAATTTGCGAAATTAACAAGAAAGTACGAAAAGTGAGTAAAAGTATAGAAGCAATAAGTATTTGTACGATTTTTATGACGAACCATTTACAGTAGAGTTTGTAACGTAAACACATTAGTTTATTGCTCCGTACGAATTAGAAAACATCAAATTTTCAGGAAAGTACTTTTAAAAAAGACTTTAATAGAGGAATTGAAGAAGATCCCACGAAGAAAGTATTATATACTTGTAATATAAATTTCTTTTTTCTTTTAATCAAGTTTTAAAAATTAAACAGTCGTGCGAATACTTATTGCTTCAACATTTCTATCGATTAACTGTTTTTTTCTTGTTAATTTCGCAACTTACATAAACAGCTATTTCTGTTGTTGTAATCTATTTATTCTAGAGATTTGCGAGAATATGTAGAATGTCATTGTTTACAAAAAGTAAGTTAATAAATTACAATTTTACATAGTTTTTTTGGAAATTGATCGGTGTACGAATACTTTCTACACCCACTGTACAATTGTACATCCCCCCATAAAAGTATGTGGACACTTCCTGAATTGGAATAGAACCTATGTATCTAAAAAAAGTTAAGAATTTATTAATGAATATCACTTATGTTCTTATATTTACTTTCTGCTACATTAAAAAATATATTTTATGAATAGTTTATTTAATGTCTATTTAATCTATCCGTCATGTGCTCTTAAAACTTCTTTTACCAATCTTGGGGTTCTAGCTATGAATTTCATCATTGTGTCCGAAGTTATATCATTTCTTTTACTTTGTAATATCTCGTCATAAATGTTTTTCAAACGTTGGACATTCTTTCTGAATTGTTCTATCTCAATGATGCCATAGTTTTTCTATGAATTTTAATAAGCTACTAAAAATTTCAATATTATTAAGTGTTATTAAATACATATCCAAAATAGAGTTTAGCGACATAAAATTGTATACTAGTAATTTTCTGTGTATATTAATTATTCACTGAACGTGGTAAGCGTTCACATATTTTTGATCGGGGTGTACCTCCTCAATTGGTCTCTAAATATCTTAAAATTCACAATTTTCCTTCCTCAGGCCAACGTACGATTTATTAAATATGTGTAGCATCGAAATAGCAATTGCTAATTCGCTTAGCTCAACAAGGGTCCCCGATAAGACCTTCATGGTCGTCTAAGGGTTAAAATGAGCGATCACGCCATGAAGAACAAAGCTCGTTACCGAATCAACTCTGTTTACACGCACCACTGTTAAAATTAAGTTGAATCTACAAATGAGTCAAGAATGAAGAAATATATTCTCCAGTGTACGTTTGAAACATTGAAATACGCTGTAATATTTTGAGATTTGTAAGCTAGTAGACGCGCATACCCCGAGATTGGAGGGGACGCGCGGTAGTGGAAGTCGATGAATAACATTCTACTCAATTCTTTGTGAGCCGATCGTAAATAGTAATACATAAATACAACTAACCTTTCACTGCGGAGAACTTGGACGCAAGTACTTATTTATCATAGTGAACGTAAGAGAGATATAGCGAACCAATAAAATTAATGAGGCGAAAAGACAATGGGCCAACCATCTTGGAACGAAATCTATGCAAGGGAAACAATTACAACCAGTCTTACAGAACTAATTTATTGACGCTTCGACTCGTTAATTACGCTCGAATTGTTGATTATGTTTCTTAACCAATCATAATTTCTATAGCGACGTCTATAAATATTTTAATCTTTACAATTGGAACGGAGTTAAAGGGTTGTACCGAGTCAAGAGATATAAAACAAAACGATTTTTCAAGAATTTTTTATGAAAAGGTACTTGCATTTATTCTAT